GGGGGGGGGGGGGTTAAGGAAGAACTCTGTATAACTGTTAGTGTACACACAGTCCAGAGTGTTGTCTCCATACGTAGGAAAGGTGACATACTGGTAAAAACTGGGCAGTGTCCGTCAGTTTCATGTGGTTAAAGTCCCTCGCAACCATGCAGAACACCTCCAGGTGCTTTATCTGTAGTGAGCTAATAGTTCCTTTGATGCTTTGTTAGCATTAGCACCCGGTGGGATGTCAACAATAGTGATGAACACTGCAGTAAACTCCTGTGGCAGATAGTACGGCCAACATTTCACAGTCCTAAGCTCGATCACCTCAGAGCAGTAGCTTTTGACCAGTCCACAGGTCGTACACCAATCCTCACTCACAAACATAGAGTCCTCCCCCCATATTTTACTCGACCAATGGTCACAGTACTCTCGGAATAACTGAAGACCGTTGATCTGGAAGGCTGAGTCCAGCATGTTGTTGTTAAGCCGTGTTTCCGTTAGGCAAAGAACAGCACAGTTCTTCATCTCTGTAGAAACACTCATCCTCAGATGTAAGTCCTTTTTTTAATCCAGTGAGCAGACATTGGCCAGAACGAGAGAAGGAATAGGTGTCCTTTTAGCTTTTAGCTTTTAGCTAGGCCAGCTTGCCTACCTGCTTCCCCCTCTTCTGTTTCTGTATATACATTATGAGAGTTTAATTAAAATCAGAACAGGGTTTCATACGACACACTGACAGACAAACACAAACATACAGGTGCTTGCCTACCTTTTACGGCAATAATAATTAAAAAATATTTAGACTTGACCTAGAGTTTTTGCTATGACTGCATTTGGTAATATACCTTTGGCTTGAAAGAAGTATCTGAACAAACCGTTGATGACGTCTGCCATGTGTCAGAATGTGTTTTTGCATGATTAGACAAGAGAAACAAATACTTGAGTGTACCTGTAGTCCTCTCCACCCACCTCATTGTTCCCATTGCAGTAAAAAGCAAAAAATCACGTTGGTGTGACTTTCGAGGAAGCTGTGTTGACAGCCTATTTATACTGTAATAGTTAGTCTACAGATTAAGTGCCTGAATGTTCATTGCAAAGAAGCAGGTCATAAAGAAATTTTCTAGAAAGGATACAACAATCCCTACTACCAGCTGGGTACTCAAAACAGAGGAAAAGTTCAGTTTTTGCTGCTTCTCTGCTGTGGTGACATGGGCTTGATTTTTCTGTCCTTTCTAGATTTGAGCAGATGCTTTATTTGTCAAAGCTTTTTAAACATTTGAAATCCTCTTGAAGTCAGCGTCAGTGAAAGTCATGGATGACCTGCCAGTTTTAACTCTCTTTGCTTATAACCTAACTGTGAATTAAGATGATCTTCAGCTTATGTCAATAACGCATTCCTGTACTGTCAGTTTTAAGTGAGATGTTAAACAGAGAATTGTGCACTGCAAACATACTTATTGCTTGTCTCTTTTAAATTTAAGGGAAAAGTCTCAGATTTCTCTGTAAAACAGAACAATTATAGCTACAAACATGTCTGATTTTTAAAGGGTGAATCCTGCAAACACTTCCACAACAACCGACTAAATTACAAATGTACAATGCAATTAGTTAACCCGCCAGTGAAACGCTAAAAATCAAGTTGTATCATTATCCATTCAACATTTTATTGATCTTTTTAAGTAACAAACTCATTTCAAGTCACCTTAATTATGATTTTACTATTTGAGTAAAATCAGAGAAGCAGACCAACAGTGGAGGAAAGAGAAATGTTGTGAGGAGTACAGAGAGGAGCTGTTAAAGGTTCTGGGTGGTAATAAAGAGTTTCCAGAGGACTGGGCTACTACAGCAACAGTAATTAGAGAGACAGGTAGGAAGGTACTTGATGTGTCATCTGGATAGAGAAAAGATGATAAAGGAACCTGGTGGAATAGTGAAGTGCAGGAAGCTATTCAAAGAAAGAGGTTAGCCAAGAAGAAATATGACGGTGAGAGGACTGAAGAGTATAGGAATATAAGGAGATGCAACATAGAGCAAAGAGGGAGGTAGCAAAGGCAAAGCAGAAGGCATATGATGAGTTGTATGGGAGACTGGACACTAAAGAAGGCAAGACGGACTTGTACTGATTGTCAAGACAGAGGGATCAGGTGGAAATGATGTGCAGCAGGTTAAGCTTGTTAAAGATGGGAATGGTAATGCTCTAACAAGTGAGGAGAGTGTGATGAGAAGATGGAAGGAGTACTTTGGAGAGCTACTGAATGAAGAGAATGAAAAGGAAAGAAGAGCAGAGGTCATAGAAACTGGACCAGGAAGTGGGAAAGATCAGTGAGAATGAAGTTTAGAAATCTTTGAAAGGAATGAAGAAAGGGAAGACAGTAGGACCTGATGACATATTAGTGGAGGTTTGGAAATGTCTTGGAGAGATGGCTGTGAGGTTTCAGACTCAAATATTCAATGACATTGTTGAGGGTGAGAAAATGCCCGAGGAATGAAGAAGTGTGCTGGTGCACATTTTTAAGAAAAAAGGGTGATGTACAGAGTTGTATCAACTACAGGGGAATTAAGTTGATGAGCCACACGATGAAGATCTGGGAGAGAGTTGTGTAAGATAGAGATGAGAGGTGACTGTCAGCAGCAGTATGGTTTCATGCCAAGAAAGAGCACCACAGATGCCATCTTTGATTTGAGGATGCTGATAGAGAAGTACAGAGGTCAGAAAGAACTCCATTGTGTCTTTGTGGAGTTAGAAAAAGCATATGACAGAGTGCAGAGGGAGGAGGTGTGGTGTTGCATGAGGAAATCTGGAGCGGCAGAGAAGTGTGTTCGACTGGTACAGGTCATGTATGAGGTCAGCAGGACAGTGGTGAGATGTGCTGTAGGAGTGACAGATAGCTTCAAGGTGGAGGTGGGAGTGCAACAAGGATCAGTTCTGAGCCCCTTCTTGTTTGCTCTGGCGATGGACCAACTAACAGATGAGATCAAGCAGGAATTCCCATGGACTATCATGTTTGCAGATGACATTGTGATCTGTGGTGAGAACAAGGAACAGGTGGAAGAGAACTTGGAGAGGTGGAGGTATGCACTTGAAAGAAGAGGAATGAAAGCCAGCTGTAGTAAGACAGAGTCCATGTGTGCGAATGAGAGGGAGGCCGGTGGAACAGTGAGGCTACAAGGAGCAGAGGTCACAAAGGTGCAGGACTTCAAGTACTTAAGAGTCCACTGCACAGGAAAATGGGGAGTGCAGTAAAGAGGTGAAAAAGAGAGTACAGGCAGGATGGAGTGATGGAGAAAAGTTTCAGGAGTGATTTGCGACAAAAGGGTGGCAGCAAAGGTCATAGGAAAGGTTTACAAGACAGTGGTGAGACCAGCTATGTTGTATGGTCTGGAGACAGTGGCGCTGATGAAATGACAGGAGAAAGAACATTAAGTGACAGAAAGGAAGGTGAGGTTCTCCTTAGGAGTGACAAGGATGGATAAGATTAGGAATGAGATCATCAGAGGTACAACACAGGTTGAACAACTGGGAGATAAAGTTAGAGAGGACACACTGAGATGGTTTGGACATGTCCAGAGGAGGGACAGTGGGTATTTTGGTAGAAGGATGTTAGAAATGCAGCTGCCAGGAAAAATACAAAGAGTAAGGCCATAGAGGAGATATATGGATGCAGTTAGAGAAGACATGGAGGTAGTTGGAGTGAGGACAGAGGATGCAGAGGAGATGGAGGAGGATGACTTGTGACCCCTGAAGAGGGAAATGCCAAAGGAAAAAGAAGGAGAATTACACAACAACTTTAGAACTGATTCATGCATGTTAACATGTGTGTAGCATTCATTTTTACTCACGTAAACACAGCGGGCTGCGTGTCGCATCTTTTTTTGTGGACGCAGGTTACTTCATGGCCAGAGACTGGAATCTGATGGCTGTCACATTTAAATTATAATTTGAACAACCCAGCAACATTTTTTTGTCCGAGCAGAATTTTTTTAATTGAGCATTAAGATCTTCAGTATGAATGTAGTGTTAGACTATTTTGGGAGAAGGCTTGTCACACCAGTTTTTTGAAAATGTTTAAAATGTTTTGAAAGGTCCATAGTGGCTCCAATGGCAACATGATCCATTAAGACAAATGTTCCCAGACCACCACTGCAGAGTTTGCAGAACAATGTTGTAACCCTGACACATTAAGGCTCTTCAGCATCAGCTGCACATCTGACAGACTTGACTTTGAATGTCTATGAATTTCCCCTTTTTTGGCATGGAAGGCACATTCACATATTTATGACCGTTTTTGTTGATGCTTGCTTATGATGTTTATCCTTGCACTCTTTTTAACTTGTAGTCCTCGAGTTTCTTTTTAAATGTTTTGCTTATTTTATTATCTGTAGCTTCTTAAATCTTTCTCAGCCTCTTCCAAGACTGGTCCTTATTAAGCTTCGCCGTGGCTGCACAACCATCACAGCAGTGGTCTTAACTATGTCAAATTAGTTTTTTCTGGTTGACATGAGACACCGTTCAATAGATGCTTTAGCATAATATTATTTCCACAAAAATAAATAAATTAATAAATAACAAATAAATAAATAAATAAAATAAAAACTCCAGATGACTTAAATGTGTAAAGATGGGACACTTAAATGTTTTAACTAAAACTTTTGGAATTCCATCTATCCATCCATTATCTTCCGCTTGTTCCGAAGTTGGGGACATCCTTACCAGATGCCCGAACCACCTCAACTGGCTCCTCTCAATGTGGAGGAGCAGCGGTTCTACTCGGAGTCTTTCCCGGATAACTGAACTTCTCACCCTATCTCTAAGGGAGAGTCCATCTACCCTGCAGAGGAAACGCATTTCAACCGCCTGTATCCGCAATATCATTTTTTCGATCACTACCCAGAGCCTGTGACCACAGGTAAGGTGTGAGTTGAAGATCTTTCTGACGGGCTCTTCTGCCAGGCATTCCCAGCAAGCCCTCACTACACATTTGGGTCTACCGGGTCTGTTCCACATCTCCCCCCACCATCTGATCCAACTCACTACCAAATGGTGATCAGTTGACAGCTCAGCTCCTCTCTTCACCCGAGTGTCCAAAACAAACAGCCGCAAATCAGATGGCATGACTACAAAGTCCATCATCGATATACGACCTATGGCATCCTGGTGCCATTTGCATTTATGGACACCCTTATGTTGAGACAGGGTGTTTGTGATTGATTCAACTGCAAATAAATTAAGTTGAAAATTGATTCAGCTTGATTGTTGATATGTGCTGCTGACTATCCATGTCGCTAAACTCATGCTGCTGATTTATTTCATGCTGCTGTTGTTCGGCATATTATTTTTGTACTATTAGTGCTTAGTGTATTAGTTTAGCATATTTCTTAGTTCATATCTTAGATCTTATTACTGTTTTACTTTACAATTTATACTTTTGTTGGATATAACTTGGACCCTGTGTACACAATTCCGTTCCTTCACATGTACCGCATGTGATGAGAATGACAATAAAGAAACCTTGACCTTGTGATGGACAAACTATGACTAGCACAGAAGTCCAAAAACAGAACACCGCTCGAGTTCAGATCAGAGAGTCCGTTCCTTCCGATCACACCCCTCCAGGTCACACTGTCATCACCTACATGGGCAATGAATCCCCCAGCAGAATAAAGGAGTCCCCAGCTCCCAGGGGCGGCTGTGGCGGAGTGGTTAGAGCAGTCGTCCTCCAGTGCAAGAGTTGAGGGTTCAAATCCACCAGCAGTCACATGCCGAAGTGTCCCTGGGCAAGACACTGAACCCCTCATTGCCTCCCATGTGTCCCATCGGTGTATGAATGTGATAAAGCTCTGATTAGCCTCTATAGAATGATTTGTTCAATTAGCTTTGCAGAGATCTTGTAGAGTGTTGTATGAATGGGTAAATGAGGCACAGATTGTTGTAAAGAGCTTTGAGTGCATTCATAAGATAGAAAGGCGCTATATAAGTACAGTCCATTTCCCAGCTGGCGCACCTTCCAGCACCCCCCACCAAGGACTCCAAGAAGGCCGGATACTCTGAACTGACGTTTGGTGCATAGCCACTAACAACTTAGATGAACTTAGTTCAAATCTGGTGGCATGAAAGGCAGTGGGTGATATGCATTCCTCCAAGGATTGATAGACTTTTAATTTCAAAATGGCTCAACATCACAAAGATTCTACATAAGAAAAGTAGTTTTTTCTTGAGAGACCATTTTGTTGCCGTTCTGTTTATTCCCAATGCTTCAACTTTTGAATAATTGCGAATTTGCCACTTTTCTTCTTCTGTGAAAGGAGATTAGAGAAGCAGAGCAGCTCCCGGCGTAAAGAATGTGAGTGAAATGAAGAGCCGAATGAGACAGTGCTTGCATGCCCCCCCCCCCCCCCCCCCCCCACACACAAAGTGATGATAAAGTATAAGAAGGCTTAACGTCTGGAAAATGGTGACATAAGAGCAGGCAAATAAGCTGAAATGTATGTGTTTGTGTTGCAGTCTATCTCTGGCCTGCATGCAGGAAAGGAGAGCGTCAGTAAAAAGTGATAAGGTTTGGTTGCTCTGAGCGAGGAGGAAGTCCGCTGCTTCTCGTGCCTGTCTGTGCAACAACTGTAGAGTTATATAAACTCAAAAAAAGGGGTTGATACTGAATTCAAATAAATGTCTTTTCAATGATTTATGTTGTTAATTAAGATGCAAAGAAATGAAGAAAACATAAAGATGTGCAGCAGGATGAGGAGACAGTCATGACCTCCCACAGAGAGGGAGGGGGGAGCTGAAAGCAGAGTGGGAGGGAGGAAGTCCTCCACATCAGGACTTCTCATGAAGTGTGTTCGACATTAGGAGGGGAGGCAGAGGAGAGGGAGGAAGAGTCAAAGGCAGCCAAAAGAAGAAGGGGAGGCTTTTGGGGTTTCTTTTTATATGAAATTGAGGTGACAAGACAGACCCCGGCCTTTGTGGGTCACCTGGTGACAGAAGATGAAGAGCCAGATCACTAATGCCCTCTCTGACTTCTTCTTTGAGTACGAGACCCCCCGCCAGGTGCTGGTGAGGAACAGGAGGGTGGGAGTGGTGTGCCGGCTCATCCAGCTGGGGGTCCTGGCTTACATCATTGGGTAAGCAGTCACCCTTTATTTTTGCTGCGCAGAGAATAATTAAAGAGTGTAATGTTTGGTATGTTTTAGCTTCGTGGCTCCACTTTTATCCCAAGTAACAAAGTGTAAGAAAGGAAAAGCGAATATGTCTTGTTTTACGTCTGAAGGGTGCCAGGGTGGGACGGACAGACTATAACTTACATCCTGTTGACACAGCAAACACAAGCTGCCGACAAACCAAGCGCACTGACTGGCAGCTGTGGGTAAAGATGAGATAACAGGGCAGATATTTCCTGCATTTCACAAGCCGAGACAAAACCTCCAGCCTGTTTGGGAACTAACGTACGGCGAATGACCCACCATGTCCACACACATGCTTTGACATGTTGGAATTCTTCTCAAGAAATTCCTTCTGAAGAAGGGAGTGAATGTTTTCCATGTAACTCTTCTTGATAAATATCTAGTTTTTTTTATTTGTAACTATGCATGGGTTGGTTCAGGATTGGTAAAATGTTGTTTGTTTGTTTTTTTCTCCACGCCTGAGCAGCAGATTCTGCAGGACTGACTACGATGAACACGCTCAGGCACATGCTTGCACTGATAAAGATCAAGGGCTGCACAGTTTGTTGCTGCAGACTCTTCTGCTGGTGATGATGACGGTCACAAACAAATGAACAACTAAGTAACACGAGGTCTGCTTCTCTTACAGGACATGTGTGCTGAATGAAACTGATCTTATGTGGTATTAAATATTTAACATAAAAAAAAATCAGCTTTCTCAGTTTTAGCTCACAGTTTCAATGGGAGGCAAAGCTAGTTTAAGTTTGATCGTTTGATATGAAGGTTCTCTGTGAATATTATCATCTCTGCTTCATTCCACCTCCGTCACCTGCCTCCATCAGACCACATTAAGGCTGGACACGGATGTCCAACTGAGGGAGATGTAATTAGAAAGCTGACCTGCTTCTTCTGCTTTAGACTGAACCATCACTGAGACAGGTCGGAGCACAAGTCACCCCATTTTTCTGTAGCGCTGTCTGAGCGCTGAGGACGCCTGGTTGACTTGTCAGGAACGTCCATGTTCAGATTAACCTTCTGTTGGCCTCAGCATGCAGTCAGCAAAAAGGAGATTCATGGCTTTTCCTTTATGACTAGAAATTCATTTTCATTAGCCTCATGAAAAGAATCCCACACAAGTGAACGTATTCGATTGACTTTAACCTCCTGAGACCCTGCGTCCACATATGGGGCATTACATTTTGGCTTTGCTGAACTTTATACTTCACTCTGTTCAATACTTTGTTAAGCCATGTTAATGTTGTTGTGTTGTGCTGTAAAATAAGCCCATTGTCCCACTGGCACTAAGCACTAGCAGTACAAAAACTATACGCCGAACAACAGCAGCACGAACATGAGTCTGTGTGAGCAGATGAGTACGAATGAACACATCAACATGAAATAAATCAGCAGCATGAGATCAGCAGCATGGATAATCAGCAGCATGTAACAACCAAGTTGCTTTTTTTTTCACAGTGGTTATTCTGGTTAGAGATTCATGAGTCTAACAGCCTCAGGGTAGAAGCTGTTCCTCAGTCTAGTGGTTCTACACTTAATGCTCCTCAACCTCCTTCCTGAGGGGCAAAAAGTGTGTGTGCTGGGTGAGTGGGGTCCTTCATGATGCAGGTGGCCCTCTTCCTGCATCTGGGGGTGTAGATGTCTGTGATGGTGGGGAGACTGACTCCAACATCTTCTGTGCAGCCTTCACCACTCTCTGCAAAGCTTTTCTTTCTGCAGCTGTGCGGCCTCCATGCCACACGTTGATGCTGGAGCACAGGATGCTCTCCACTGCACACCTGTAGAAGGAGGTGAGGACTGAGCTTCCCAGACCAGCTCGCCTCAGCCGTCTGAGGAAGTAGAGTCTCTGATGAGCTTTCTTGATCAGGCTGGTGGTGTTGTTGCTCCAGCTGAGGTTGTCATTCATGTGTACACCCAAGTACTTGTAGCTGGAGACCACTTCCACCGCAGATCCTCTTATGTTCAGGGGGGTGTAGGTGGGTTTGTTCCTTCTGAAGTCCACGATCATCTCCTTTGTCTTCTTCACAGTGATGTGAAGGCTATTTTCCTTGCACCAGCTCTCCAGGTGTTCCACCTCTTGCCTGTAGATGGACTCATCATTGTTTGTGATGCATCCCACCACCGCTGTATCATCTGCAAACTTTACAATGTGACAGCCTGGATGGGTAGCTGCACAATCATATGTATAATGAGAACATGTTATTTTGAGATAATGTCATACAATAAATTTAAAAAATAAATAAATGAACTGCTTTTTTATCTTGATATAATGAGTTTTTTTTTCATCTCTCTGTCCTCCGGTGAAGCCAGACGTGTCTCCCTGGTCTCTCCCCCATGCGAACCCTTAAAAATCCTCTTTTTTTTCTGCATACCTCCTAATTCAAAGGTTCAGCTGGTCTCTCAACAAAATTGATCAACTTCTCCCGACAGGAGTCAGGGTAAAGAGGACACCCTTAACTCGACGGAAACAAATTGGATTCATGATGACAACTGGTTATTTTGCTGTTTGATTGGTGAGTTCTGGATTGTCTACAAATTTGTGTGGATGTGTCGAAGCTCGGCAGCACTCAGACTGAATTACGTGCAGTTGCGTCAGAGAGCTGGTGTTGCTGTTACCAGGACTGTGGACTCTCTAGCAGCGCGCATGAAGGGAAAATTATCTTGGAGAAGCTGTGAGCTCGACTTTTGGCGTAAAGGATCAATTCGGCTGTTTTGGAGTTCCATCAGAGAATATGTACCAGCGAGACTTTAAAAAGGAAGAAACAACAATTCACGAGTTCTGCCTGACCCAAACTGTGGCCTTGACGTCGGACTTATCTCAACTCCTCCTGGCATGTTTAGAAAACAACAAAGATGCTTTGACTGTCTCCTCACCCCTCCCTTCTCCAAGGCCGTGGGCATGTAATAGAACCTCAACCGAGCTGAAGATGAACGTCACCTCTTATCTGGACAATGGCTGAGGGGGGGGGGGGGGCCTCTGGACTATACTATGACCTTCCCTTAAAATTCAATGTCTTCACCGGCCTATATGTTTCACGTCTATTTATGTTGCTTTGCTGTGGTAGGTTTTTTTGATGTCTCAAATCATGTCTTTTCTAGGACACGGTGTGAGAAATCTTTTTTTTTTAATACCGTCTCTCCTCATGTTTTCTTCCTTTTTCTCATCTAAGCAAAATATAATTCTGAATAAGAATAAGAGGGCCGCGCTTTTTATAGCAGCAGCTTCGTGCACTCCGCCCATCTTTCGGACGACTGTACGTAAATGCTCTCATTGTATCTTGGTGCAATGATAATAAAGTTTATTCTGATTCTGATAACATATTTTGATATTATGTCATCTAAACAATAAATAATGAAATAAATAAAACAAAAAGTCAGACGAAGAAATTTATAGCAATTCCCTTTTAAGGAATACAACAGACCTTTCTGCGTCATGAAAATTTTTTACTTTTTTAAGGATAGTGAATTATTTAATTATTTTGAGCAAATAAAGTTTTGTTATTCTGAGATTACAGCAATTAAAAACAAATATTTAAGGATTACTTTGTGTGTGTGTGTGTGTGTGTGTGGGGGGGGGGGGGGTCAAATAGTTGTCTCTTTGGAGCAGCACGGTGGCACAGTTGGTAGAGCTGCCACCTCTCAGCGAGCAGGTTGCCCAGGTTCAAATCCCATCTGGGGGCCTTTCTGGGTGGAGTTTGCATGTTCTCTCCGTGCATGTGTGGGTTTTCTGCAGGTACACCAGTTTCCTCCCACAGACCAAAAACATGCATGTTAGACTGATGATAACTCTAAATTGTCTCTAGGTGTGAGTGAGAGAGTGAATGGTTGTTTGTCTAGTTTGTCTCTTCGTGTCCCTGTGATGGACTGGAGACCTGTCCAGGGTGTCCCCCGCCTCTCGCACACTGACTGCTAGATATGGGCGCCAGTGACTCCCACAACCCAAAAAGGAAGAAGTGGATAAAGATAATGGATGGATGGAGTTGTCTCTTTGCTTTTGTAATAAAACAAGCCTTTTGGGAATTTAAATATAAAAAATGTACCAGTTAGCTGGAGAAAAATAACCCTGTTTAAAAAAACAAATTCTTTATTTTATTTAGAAAAAACCTTTTGTTATTATGAAATACTACATATATAACTTGTTTAAACTCAACAAGCTTGTCATCTTAAGATAAAACAACTTGGTATCTTAAGATGACAATATGTTCTTTTGCAGCCTCCTTAATAAAACAAGCCTTTTTGCATTTAAATATGTACATATTTAATCCAGGTCATTTTGAGAAAACACATTTCCTCAAGCTAATGAATCATTTATCTAATTTTCCATAAAAAAAAAAAAATCTAGTTATGTCTTGATAACAAATTAAATAACTAATTATCCTGAGAAAATGTTCTGAAAAAAAATTCTACGCATGGCTTCCACAATAAAAACATCTTGTTGTAGAGCTAAATAAATATATATATATATGTATATATGTATATAATATATGTATGTATGTATGTATATATATATTAACTCAATCTGTCAATAAAGGGGAGCTTGTTTTATCAAGAAAATCAAATAAAGAACTTGTTTTCTTGAAATAATGTCATGTAATAAATAATTTATAAGCCTGTCACTCTTAATTTTATAGAACAGGCCTCTCTTTATTTCAACTAAACACATTAGCTAAAAGCAAAGCCCTGTTGTCTACATATGATGAGTATTTTACAAAGTGAGATTGTTTTCTTGAAAGAGTGAGTCACTATATTTACTTATAATACTTGTTTTCTTCTGATGTCAAACCATGCGCTCTGACCTTTAAGTCGTTCAATTGCTTGATAATACAAAAGGCAACCAATCACATGGCAGCAACTTTATATATTTAGGCATCCAGTTATTTTTCGTCTTATTAGTTATTTGTGTTTACTTAGTGGAGTGGTGGTGCAGAGGTTAGAGAAGGTGGGCC